CTGCACTGCTTTACTTGCCTTCCTTGCATATGATCTAATATCTCAAGACCCTTCTTAAAACACATAGGCTAAACAAGGCTCCAAGGGTAGTCTGACCCTTGGAAAGTTGAGGACAACAGTCACCCCCATCATTCTAGATGGTACTGTACATCTCTAATGATGCATACTGAGATCACATTGTCTCTTCTGCAGACTTTTCCAGTCACAATCTCTAATGATAGGAAGACACAGTAGTCACACACTCATTATATACATAAGTTAAACTTAAATTTGGAGGAGAGTAGCCTGCTCATGGGCACATGGAAATTCTGTCTCCAAAAACCCACAAGTAAAAGGGGAAAGGTTTATATTGGCTCACAATTTGTAGCGGTTTCAGTCCATAGTCAGTTGGCTCCAAGGCAGGGAAGCATGGCAGAGGGGCATGGCTGAGGAGAAACAGTCCATAGCAGGGTAGGCAAGAAGCAGCGAGACTTCCTCCTTCTTTCCCCTTTTATTCTATGCAGGAAACTAGTCTATTGGTTGGTGCCACCCACACTCAGAGTGGGTCTTCCCTCTTCAGTAAGTCTATCACCAACACCTAGTACTATGTTAAACCCATCAATGGACTAATTCAGTATCGTACATTCATGATCCAGTCATTCCCAAATTCCACCTATGAACACATGAGCTTTAGGGAGATATCTAGATATAAGTTATAATAGGTCCTCTGATGCCTCACAGGGAATGTGAGCAGGCTTTCCATTCACATTTGGCCCATGAGAAAAAGGCACAGAGAGGATGAAGGGCTTCCTCAGTCACAGAGCAGGCAGTGATGGGCCAGGAGAAGACTAAGAACTCCTGGCTTGAGTATTCTCATCAACATAGTCTTTGTAAACAGTGCCACAAGGAGGGAATGAAAGACAGCTCATGTTCTCTCTGAGCCCTGGTGTCAAGCTTCTTCCACTCTTCCTTCTGATTCCAGCCACCCTTGTGGCCCCATTGAGGGGAATGTCCTTCCTCTCAAGCCCCCCTCATATCTCAACACTGAGCACCAGCTAGGGGCAGTGACCCTAATACAAGACAAATAAGCCAACCTACACACATCAAGGGAACCTTAGCACAGGACAAGGCACACAATGAATCTCAACAGACCACAGTTGCTGGGCCTACAATTGCTTATTGTCCCAGAGACACTGATTGTGAAATAAGTGTATTGGTCTTTCCATCACTGGGACCAACATCCATACCTTAAAGGAGGAACTTAAGGGAGAAAAGTTTTGTTTGGCTCACAGTTGCCAAGGTTTCCATCCATGGTCAGCTGGAACATCATGGCGGGAGGTATGGCAGAGCAAATCTGCTCACTTCATGGCAACCAAGAAACATAGCAAGGGAACCGCCCCAGAGAAGAAGGAGCCAGAAACCAGACAGAGTCCCCAAGGTCATTGCTCTATGACTCACCCAGACACATCCAGAAATGTCCTTTCTAATCCCCTAGATGCCTCCCAAGCCAATAAAGTTGACAATGCATCTTAATCCTCCCAACAAGATACCTCAAAATTCAGTGCCACTGAAGAAATCATATGCTATGGACTCAATAGCGTAGACATTCAGCTGAGGTGCAGAGAGAGCAGATCTCTGCTCCACAATGACTTCAGCTTCACCTGGACAGCAAGGTTAGGGATGGCTTGGGGACTAGGAGCTGGGCTAATTCAAAGCCTCAGTCTCTCTCAATTGATGGTGAACCTGTCTGGCAAGTTCAAGAGGCCAAGGCTGATCTCCATGGGGTCTCTCCCCGTGGCCTACTCTGGACTGCCTTGCAACATGGAAGCTGAGGTCTAAGGGTGAGAATACTGGGAGAGAGCAACAGGAAGCTGCATATATGGCCTGGCTCAAAAGCTGCATAGCACTTGTCCTGCTGTAGCATAGTGAGGATCCAAACCTTGGTCCATACTTAAGAGGAAGGAACACAGATCCACTGTTTAGTGGAAACAGCTTCTACCCCATTGTGAGAGCACAGATGTGCCCATGTTTGGAAAACAGTCTCCATCCTTCTTAGCATCGTCTTGTTGCCATTTGTGTTAGCCAGGTTTCCATCGCTGTAGCAAAATACATGAAATCATCCACTTAAAAAGATGGAAGCCTTGTTGCAGCTCATAGCATTAGAGGTTCTGGTCTCTGGCTGGTTGGCCCCTTTGGCAGCGCAGCACATCATGCGGACAGCATGTGAGGAGGAACTGGAAGGGACCTAGTCTGGATCTTCCCTTCGAGGAAACACTCCCAATAACATTGCTGAGCTTGGTACCAAGTCTTTAACACATGGACCTTTGGTGATACTTGTCCAGGACATAACACCACCCTTGTCCTTTGAGGTGAGCTCCCAGCAGGTGGCTCCTACATCCCTGTGACACTACTGCCTTTGGACAGTCCATCTTTCTTCTAGACATATCCAGTCCTGCAGTGAACACAGCTCAAGGTCAGCCTCAGATTCCTGTCACAGTCCACATGAATCTAAGCAACCACACTCTATATCAATCTCTTTACAGTATGAGATCAGTACATTCCTAGGACCCGGCAACCCAGGCCCGGGAATTTAAAAAAAAAAGCTCCAGGTAACTTCTAAGAGACCTACTGACAATTTTTTGCTTGCCTACCATTTATCTTTAGTAACACTACAAGAGTTACAATATGTTCAGTGACAAATCTATAATTTCATTCTCCTTTGCCAAGAGAAGAGGCCAGTGAGAGAGAGAAATGAAAATTGTTGGGTGGACTTCTTGGACAGTTTTGTAATAGAGCTTACTCAGTTAGCTGATGTCTTTCCTGCCCCTGGCCATTCCTTTTTATCTAGACTCAGATTTGAGGGCTAGAGGATCAGCAACCATGTTGAGCCTATGAGGTGGTTTTGAGAACAGAATAGAAAGAAAGGGATATGTGTTTCTGATGGCATCCTGGGGCTACCAAAGTGGGTTTGAATGAACTTCATGCATTGAGAGAGTCCGTATCTTGTTGAAGCCGCTATTACTTTTGGATCTTATAGGTAGTAGTCAACCACAAGGGTCAACAGACCCGGATTGCCACCAGGTTTCTGATCAGCCTTCCTGCCTCAAACTTCACCCAGCTGCAATCCACTCTCCACCTGGACACAAGCGAGCTTCCCTACACACAAGTCTGGTAAGAACCCTCTGCTTCCCTCAAGCCTTCAATGGCCTCCCAACACCTCTAGGTAAAATCCATACTCTGTAGCATGACACACACTGTCCACCCCATCCCCAGACACCTGTGCTCTACCACCCCAAGCTGCTCAGCAAGCCTGGCCAATTTCTCCTCCCCTTCCCTCTCCTCTTTCTCTTCCTTTTCTTCTTCTTTTTCTTCTTCAACAAAAATGTTTTTCATTTAAATCAAGATATAAAAAAGCAATATTTCAGTGGAGATCATTAAATGATTTTTCAATTATCTACTTTAATAACAGCAGACCAATTCTAGCAAATATTTCACAATGTCCATTGTCTTTCGTGGCTTTCAAAGCAAAATATAAACTTAGTCTAAAATTTTCCCTTTATTCTGAATAAATTTCTCAGTGTAGAATTCAAATCTGAGGTGCAGTGACCTACTTTTCCCAGGACTAACTGTGCATCTGTCCTACAGCGTCCATTAAAAAGTGTGACATTTTATCCCTACACCATTTCATTGTGTGCCACAGCGACCTAGGAGCCCACCATCATGCCTCCTGTGAACTTTTAATCCAGGAATTAGTCTTAGTTATGGGATCTTAATAATTAATCTTTAACTGTTGTAATTTCAGTGACAGGATTTGGGGATGGGGGAAAATGAGAGGAACCGGAAGGAACAGGGGTGTAGAAGTAATTAAGATTTGATTTGTATATTTACTAAGATAAATGTAATTATTATGCATAGCAAATATATGCCAGTAAGAAAGAAAATATGTGCTCCTTTGTACACTTTTCATCTTTTCAATATTTTCAAGGGCAGAGCTGCTACTTTCCTATAATAGAAAAAAATAGTGGTCAAAATAGTTTCATAGATATAACAAAACAATATTCAATTATTAACAGTACTTTATTTGATTATTTTCTATACTTGATATATAGAAACACTTCTCAGAGAAGTGCTTCTTAGTTACAAACATTCTATAGTTTACAGTTTACTCAGTGGTATTAAAATGTCCTCACTGCTATCACATGGCTTCTGATAGCAACCGTTCTTCTACCAGAAGTGCACTTGGGGGGCTCCTTGGCTCTCAGTACCTAACTCTAAAGCCACCTCCCACAGGAAGCCCTTCCTGATTCTCTCAGGGCAAGCCACTGCCTCCAGCAAGCTCTTTGTAAAGTGTTTCTGATTTGTAGCACTCTCTGTGTCTGTCCCTCTAGACTGGGAGCTTCTCAAGGGGACAGAGCCTTATTTGTCCCTTTATCTCCAGCTCTCAGCAAGTGCTGCCTGAATAAGTAGATGGGTAGCTGAATGGATGCTGCCCACCTTCACCCCTCATCTGCTGGAGCTTCCAGACAATGCAGAGTTAGAAGAGGGGGCAGCACCATTCAGTGGTCTCCTCACCAGATTTCATGCTCAGGACCACCCCACAGTCCATCAGCTCCTGTCCCAGCAATTCCCCAGAAACGGAAACTCCAGGCTGCTCCAGGGTCCCAGACAGCATGCCCAGGCCCTAGCCATCCATGCAAAACCCTATGAGACCACATTTCCGGTTCCGGAAGCCCATTCCCAGGAACACAGGAGCCCCTTTCCTCTCCTTCAGGGTAGGAAGAGTGCTCAGGCTACATCATGTCCCCCACAATGGCCCAGAAAGGAGATTTGGTCACGTCAGCAGTCAGTTGCAAGACAGAGCTAGAGCAAGCCCACCTCCTCTGGGACAGCTGCTCCCAGAAGCGCCAGGCACTGGCAATGGTGGCAAATTCCAGAGGCCCCATGGGAGGGAGGGACAGCCGCCTGGGGAGTGAGGGGGCAAGCCTGTCCTGGGCGGTGGCCAGGGAGTGCCAGGGCAACACCCACGCATGGAGCCAGAACCCAGCAGCGCCCCCTTTAAGGAGCACCCTGCCTTTCAGAAGTGCTCCAGTCTTAATTTTAGCTTGGAGGTCTGCCACGCCGGCTTTACCGAGAGGCAGGCCGGAGTTATGTGGGACAGCTGTCCGCTGGCATGCTGGGTGGGGCCTGTTAGCCATAGGACACAAATCTGGGGACCCTGAACTGGTCTCTCTGCCCCAAGGATTCTCAGCCCACCAGCTGCAAGGCTCGGACCTCCACCACCTGCTAGAGACAGCTCTGCAATGATGGCTGAAGAGCACACGGACCTGGAGGCCCAGATCGTCAAGGACATTCACTTTAAGGAGATCGACCTGGTGAACAGAGACCCCAAGAACATTAATGAAGACATCGTCAAGGTAGGCTGTGCAGCTCAGAAGGGTGGCACCTCATCTGCTTGCTCCAAATCCCCAAATAAGCAAAGGCTTGTGCACACAGTATTTAGCACAAACAAGAGCAAAAAATGAGCTGCCCATAGGAGGCCCAAGTGTCGACTGGGCAGGTTGGGGAGGCAAGGCACAGAGAAAAGGCCTCTCTAGCCCAGGGCGGAGGCGCTAGCTCTGGCGCCAGCTCCCTGTCCTGGAGCAATGGGAACTGGCAGCCAGCTCAGGCAGTTTTCCATGCCAGGAGGCCCTTCTTGGGTTCCCCGGTGGGCGGCAGGGCCATCTCCAGCAGGCATCTCCTAGCTGGGCTGGCAGCCCTTGGGGAAACGCTCGCTCCTGAGAGCACTGCCCAGGGTCGGTCCCCAGCCTGTGGGCCACGCCCGGCCCTCACCTGGCTCCTGCTTCACTCTGGGACTGGGGTCCAGGATGGAACTCTGGGTCCCGGGCCCCAGAGCCCCAGAAATGGAGTGTTCAGACCTGTGTAGCTTTAGGGAGTGAGCCCTTGGCCACTGCCTGAAGCCAGGCCTCTCCTCACCCAGCAGAGGAGCAGCCAAGCTGCCACAGGCCCACGCCCTCAGCCCAGCGAGCCAGGTATCTTCCCGAAGGGGACTGCTTGGAGCAGCTCCCCGGCCACCAACAGCACCAGCTCTGCAGTGGCTGTGACCTGGGCTGGTGGCTGGGCTGTGACCGCAGGCCAACACTGTCCCACAGAAATGTGGTATAACTTGACCAAGGTACAGTGACCTGTAGTGTTTTTGTACATTAACAGTGGCACAGTGGTTTATTATCATCAAGAATTGTATACTACATAATGTTGTGCTACACCCTTTCTATGTGATAATCACGCGACGATTTGCTTTTACTTTTTTTTTTCCTCTTTGTGTTACAAGTGATAGAGCCCAGGGCCTCACTTATGATAGCAAGTGCTCTAGCCCTGCCTGAGCCACACTTCCAGCCTGGAATTTACCTTGTTAGTAAATTACTTTTTAGAGCAGCATTAGTGCAGGCTAGTAGAAAAGTCAAGCATAAAGTATGAGCATTCCCACACATTCATTTGCCCCGGAATTTTAATCTAGCAGCCACGTTTAAAAAAGGAAAATCAGCCAGGTGTGGTGGTGCATGCTGTAATTCTGGCTTCTTGAGTGGCTGAGGCAGGATGATCACATATTCAAGCCCAGCCTGGGCAACTTAGCCTGTTTCAAGGTCAAACAAAATTTTAGAAGGCTGGCAGGGTAGTTCAGAGGCAGAGAGTCCCTGGGTTCAATCCCTCATACCACAAAAAAGAAGTAAAAAAACAAGGAAAATAAAACAGTTGAAATTATTTATCGTTAATTTAACCTTATATATCCAAACTAGTGTTATTTCGACATATAACTGGTAGAAAACAGTACCAGTGAATAACTGTACCGTCTTCAAACTCCAGTAAGTGTCTTGCCCTCCCAGTACTTCTCAGTTCAGACTCCCAATTTGCATCAGAAATACATGCTCTATATTTAGAGGTCATAGAATGTATAGTTGAAAATAGATTCACATGCCCAGACTGTTCCAAGCCTTATTAAAAGTTTTCCAATAATGGAACCAAATATCTGTTTTTGTATTGCAATTAAAATTCAATGGGATTTAGAATTCAGTGGCATGAGCCACATTTGAAGCACACCAAGCTGGGGGCTGCTGGACTCCACAGGGCAGCTCAGGGCCTTTCCATATCACAGCCTCAGGCTACCATCTTTCCTGGGCACCTCCACAGGGAAGAGGCTAACCTCTCCATGTGTTTTCTAGCTGAGGCAGAGGAGGCTCCCACCCAGTTCTCCTGCCCATTTTGCTCCACTCACCAGAACACACCCTGCCCTCCTGGTGGTGAAAGCCCTTCCACCTTCTAGGCCCAGCTCAAAGCCCACCTCCTCCAGAAAGCTCTCTAACTGCTCCGGACAGCCCACTGCTCCTCCACACCCCTTCCCTGTGGGCCTGCTTCACAGCAGGTCATGTTATCTGAGTTACATGTGCACAGATCACTCACAGAGGGAAGTGCCGTGTGTCACAATACAGGGAGAGAGCTGCAGGTAGAAACTAGGAAGCAAGCTTTGCAAATGATAGAGCACCACCTACAGGAGAGGCAGTGCTGGTGAGGTTTCCACAGTGAAGTCTAGCAGGAGGGGTCCTGGACTCAACTTCAACAGACCTGATTTCAAATCCAGACTCTTCCTCTTAAAAACGATGACCCTTGACTTGTGGCTTCTACTTTGACTTGTGACCCCATATAGTGGCCATCATCACTGAGCTCCACAGGGAGCTGAGTCTCAGGCAGCACTGGGCCACAGTGGACAGAGAAGGACGGGACAGGATGGGGCTTCCCAGCACATGGCAAAGCCATGACAGATGTGAGCTGCGCGGGGGCCTCAGGAGTTTACAGTTAGGGGCCACAGTACTGAGCCATGGGCCACTGAGGATGGAGATGAGGAGTCCTCAGGAGAGTGTGGTTGTAGGGAGACTACAATGGGTGGCACAGATAGAGAGGACTCCAGGTCCTGCTGAGCCAGAAATGAGCCAGGTTCAGGCTGCTGGCCCATATTATAACCCAAAGAAGGAAGTGGGGACAGCAGCATGATGTCCGGCTATGTGCAGCCTCTCTGGGGCTGAAAAGAGTTCTTTCTTGGTGGCCTAGAGACCACGAGCCACAGAAAAACAGCTCCTAAAGGCCAAACAAAAGGTCCTGCAAATGAGTTTGTCTAGAAGAGACTGTTATTTGGTATTGGGTGGGCATCCTTTTGTTTGTAGAGTTATCTGATTTTTTTTTTCTTTATTTTGTTTTTAATGGGCCAGAAATGAAAAGTTTAGAAACGTAGAACATAGATCCTAAAGCAGTGTCAGACAAATAGCACCGGCATAATAGATAGGTTCAAGGTGACTTCAGGCTTTGGTTATAGTCGATAAAGGAAGAAAGGAGCAAGAAGACTGGCTAGGGGGCACAGGCAGGGCCTGTTGGACAGGGCAGCCTTCTGATTACCTGGGTTTCGTTGGCACCTGGGAAATGGCAGGAGGCCGGCAGGGACTCCTTGCACTCTTACGGAGCCCCTGCTATGTGTGGGCATGGTGGTGTCTCAGAGCAGAGGGTGTGAGTTGCTCTGGTGCTGTGCCAGGCTTGGTGGGAAATGAATGCATACCAAGCTCCAGGCTCTCCAGTGTGCCACTGAGCATTCTGAGGATACCTCCTTCACTCCCAGGTTAGAGAGGCTCCAGCCCCCTCCCCGCCCATGCCTCAGGGTACCAGCCTCTCCCCAGTTATTTGTAAGAGGGAGAGACAACAGGAAGCAACAGCACTCCAGTTCCGCACAACCTGTTCCTGGTTTGGGCAGATTTGGGATAGCCTGGTGCAGAAAGATGAAACTGACCTCATACCTTCCCTTGAAAAGAGTCCAACCTGACAGAGATTGTGGCCAAGAAGAAGGCAGTCACACTGTGCAGGTGCTAATCTAAGCTGGTGCCAAGTGGAGGGCTGTAGGAGGTTAGGTGAGGAAGACGTTCCTTGCATCTGGGAAAATCAAGAGACAGTTCCGTGAGAAGATGGTGTCCAAGTTGCATTTTTTAAAATGAGAAAAAGGCAAAATGTGGGGTGGAGGAACAGGTTTTCCAAGAAGAAAGGGAATAGGCAAAGGTGTGGAGGCTTTCTGCAACATTACACAGAATACTGGGCAGAGCTGGTGAATATCGCTGACAGGTATTTCTGTTGCCCCTCCCTATATTCACGGCAGACATTGCTAGTGGATCACAGCATGTCTCCAGGAAGCCAGGCCCCATCAGTGGCTCAGAGTTCATGCAAAAGATGAAACCTCTTTGCTACTCTGATTGCAGACTGATGAACTGGAGAATGAAAATAGGACAAGCATCTCAAAGGCAATTTGTGGAAGAGAGAGCACGAAGACCAAGCAGAGAATGAATCATAGAGACTCATACATCCCACTAGTCATTCCACAGGACAATTCTTTCCTTTTGGGAATGTCTTGCCCTCATCAGTGACCCCTGGAAAAGGCTACACTTTCATTCTCACTGAAGTGTTGTGATTATTGTCATGGGAACTTCTGAGAGTCAGCTGGTCTGGAGATTTTCAAATAGTGGTCCACTTTCCTGGGTCATTAGAGTGTATGCTCTTGGGTCCCCAGAAGTTCTTAAACAGCTGAGTCAGGAATGTTCTGTACTCTTGTGCTCGAGTATCATGAACATGTCCACCTCTGCACATTGAAGCTGCACCTGGAGTCCAGAGTTGTCACCTGTTTTCCCTAAAGACATACCATATCAGTTATGGATTGCTGCATAACAAATTTCCCCAACAACCACTGGAGACTGCTGAAGCTCAGTGGGCCTCAGCGGGTCTCTCATATGGTGGTTTGGCTGAAAGCACCTGGGGGCTCCACTGAGCTGAAACATCCAAGATGCTCCAAGGCATTGGCAATGGCATGGTAGTAAGAAGGAAGTGGGTACAGCTGGGCCCCCCAGCTCCAGCAACTTCAGGCTTCTCCTTGCTCGTGACCTCTCTGCCAGAGTGAGGTAACAGTGGAACTCTAGAGCAGGGTATAAAAGCAGACTCCTAACACCTCGGTCTCTAGAACAGGGTATAAAAGTGAACTTCAAACATGGTAGCTCAGGGCTCCGAAAAGCAGAAGCTGCCAACCTTCCAGGCTTCATTCTGGGACTGGCACAGCAGTCCCTCTGGCCCACTCTGGTGGCTACAGTGAGTCCTACAGCAGACCCAGACTAAGGAAGGGTTGAGATACCCCACGTTGGTCGACAATGACAGGCATGACTCCCTGAGGTCATCTCACCCACCAAAAGCTGGTGCACAGCCTAGAACACCACCCAGGGCATTTCTGCCATTTCCCATCCCCACTTGCAGCAGCTCTGCAGCAAGCACAGGCTGCCAGGGAAGGCAAGAGGATGCAGGGGCCCAGCCAGAGGACAAGGGCCAGACTGGCCAGGTGCAGGTGGGGCTCTGCAGCTGCTTCCAACTCCTTTACATGAAGGCAGTTCTAATTATGTTATAGCCCAGGTTCCCCAGGTAGCCCAGCAGCCCTTAGAGTTCCTGCTACCACCTGTGCCATGTTCTGGGCCTCAGCTCCTTCTGGGTACCTGGCCCCTCTGATAACTCAGGTACAGAGACTAAGGGAGACTCAGACGTACGCTGTGATGTCAGGCTGACTTGGGTCTCACTCTCCTTGGGTCTTGGTGCAGTAAGACACCAGATACATGGCCAGAAGTGACCCTATGAGGGCTAAATGATTGGAGTGCTACCTTGGTTACCTCAGACTTTATAGAATTTTACTATTGCTATTACCATGGCTAACCAAAAACAAGCAAAGCTTTACCATTTTTAACCTGGTTCTGTACGTATTGCCTTAGCTTAGCTTCTAACTTCATAGGACCAATGGTTCTCAAGCTACCTGAGGGAAGGGCTGGTTTTATTACAAACCACTGTGCACCAGTACTTTTGTAAAATATAATAAAAATTACTAAAGAAAATGAGATTGAAAACAGTCACGCTAACTAACATAAGCCCCAATTTTTACTATTATTAGAAATAAAACTACTGCATCAAGACGTGAAAGGATTTGCTCTCAGATTCTGTACTCACCTGGTCAGGTAAAGGATGGAGGAGACACTGAGGACAACCTTTTAAGTAGCCAGTTTGTGGGCAAGGAAGCTGGAGCCCAGGGAATTTTAGCCACTTGCTTGAGTCTTCTGACTCAAAAGTTAACTCTGTGCCTCTACAGATCTTGTTGCAACCCCTCTGGGTAGAGCGGAACAACCACCACAATAAAATCCCCATGCAAACAGAAAACCCAACCCAAACAAAACCAACAAACAAGCAAAAAGCCACGGGCCCCAAAAGGAAAAGCACAGCGCCTGAGGGGTGCAGTAACTCCGTGACCAAGCAGAGACAGAAATGGAGCTGCTTCCCCAGTAGGGTGTCCTATCCGAGCTGTACAGGGTCCCAGATACCCAAGGCCTGAGTCACCCAGAACTCTGGGGAAGTGTTTTCTGCAGGAGTGGCTGCTGCCCTCCTCCTCGTCCTCCCACACTCCATGTCCTGAAGGAGGCTGCCGGGGCTGCGCTGACCCGTTCCCATTCACCAGTTGCCTTTCTTGATGTTCCAAAAATAGACAGGTCAGAGAAGTGGACACCAACTGAATGAACAGCCATGGCCTCCCCTTCCTGCCCTTTGGCCCCTCGCTACAGCTGTACACAAAGCCAGAGCTAACCTGCTGGATTAAGCCCCCCAGTCCCCCACCCTCCAAGAAAAACACCATCTCCTCTCTGCGTCCGAAAGGAATTAAGGAACGAAGTCACTGTCCACTTCTGATGCGCTGGCACAGCTGCCTAGAGCTGCCTGTGCCAGGTCTTATGGCCATGGCTAGACTTTTCTCGATGCTCAAACCCAAACTAGGGGAGCGTTGCCTGCCTCCTCCCAGCAGGGCATGGGCCTCAGAGAGCACGTTTTCTGATTCAGAAAAAACAGTGCAGCTGCCCCATGCGCAGAACCCAAAGGCAATCCTTGAAACTGGTTCAAATGCCAACACCAGCTGCTTCTATGAAGCAGTTGAAAGGCACAACAGATAGATGCTTGGGGTGGATTTATTACTACAAGCAGAAAATGAGAGAAAGGAGGATTCAAGCCATCTTACCAGCTTAGACTGAGAACCACAAGTAAACATTTATGACGAGGTAGGCTGAAGAATCATTCTACTTACAATCTGAAATGCCAGTAGGATCTGAGATATATTTTCATAGTAAAGTTAGAGCATTTGAAAAAGAACTATTAACAAGCACCTACATGTGCCAGGTGTTGTACTAAGTTCTCCCTAAGAGCTGGTAGCTTAAAACCCAAGAGGTTCTCAGTAAACATTTATTTATTTGTTTGGATGGATGGATGGATGGATGGATGGATACATGGATACATGGATGGAAGGATAGGATAGGTGGATAGATAGATGGGTGGTTAGATGGATACGTGGAAAGGAGAATGGACAGGATAGATTAATAGGTAGATAGAAATACGGATGGTTGGAGATAGATTGGGTGGGTAGATGGATGGATGAAGAGAAAAGAGAATGGATGGATAGGTGGATGGATGGTTATTTGGATGGGTAGATGAATGTATAGATAGGTAGATGAGTATGTTTTTTTATTTAAGTCCAGTGATTATCTTTCCCACTTCTTTCATATGGTACCTCAGTCATGTCTTCAGTAGGATGTGATGACAAGTCTTGAGCACCCACGTTCCTTGCAGTGACAAAGGTGGGTGGTGGAGGTAGAGGCACAGGGCCTGAGATTGCTATGGGGCTGGGGCAAGGAAATGCATCCACCCTCCCCCGAAGGCTGGGCCACTCAGGTCCAGATGCCTCTGCAGCCAAGGAGGTTCATCATGGGATGGACCTCACTTACCATGGCCAGAGCAGCTCCCAAACCCATTCACCTCTCTCTAACACACTGCCAGGACCATGTGTTAGGTACCACCAAGGCCTACCCAGTCCCCAGCCTCATTCTCACTCTCAGTCTTGCTGCTGCTCCTCCTAACCCAGACAGATTCGATCACGGCACTCCCTGCACAGCAGGCTCCCAAGGTCTCATGCACTGAGGTTGCCAGCCACCTCTTCCAACCTCGCACTGCCATCTCTGGGCTTGCACTTGGACTCCTGGGGACCACACTGTACCTTTCTGAGTTCTCCGTGATTTCATCCATGGGCTTTTCCAGCTGCTGGTAGGCATCTCTTCTCTAGGAAGAGCCTTTAATACTCCCACCTAGACTAAAGTTACTTCTGGGAGCACACAGCCCCTGTGCTCCCCGGATCTCCACAGTACAACTGCCTGCTGGGCTCGCCACCATCGTTCGCATGGATGCTCAACTGATCTTCATGGGATAAGGATGATTGTCCAGCTCTTCTAGGATCTTCCAGGATCATGATATAATAGAATTTGAGCGCTATAGCAAATACAATACTACTTCAGTTCACAAACAGTTCAGTTCACAAACAAAAGCATTCAGCAAAATTTTGCTTTCGTTTGCGAACTCCACATCAAGAGGCAAATGCAAATGCAACTATCTTCCCCCAATTCCGAAAACAAATTAAGTTCATAAACCAAGGTACCACTCACCTGAGCTAGTTGGCTTAGGAGGAGTGGAGTTATTCTGGCTCACCCTTGTGGGGATTCCTGTCTATGATCGATTGGCCTATTGTTGTGGGACCTGTGGCAAGGCTGTCGCATCATGGGATACAGCAAAGCTGTTCATCTTCATGGGCAGGGAGGAGAGGGAGAGGAGTGGGTCAGGGCCCCACAGGCCCTTCCAAGGACCAAGACTCCCCACACCACCTCCCAGCAGCACCACCCTGTACCAAGCCTCTCACACCACGTCTAAATGGTAGGGCTGTTTCTAATATACTGCTGGCTTTAAGGAAAATATTCACTTTGAGGGCTGCTTATTCATTCCATGAATGAGGGAGTTGGCGAACTCTCCACAGTGCACTGCTGTTCTAGATGGGGCAAAGCAGCCAAGCAGGTGACCAGTGACAGCATCCCCACCCCTAGGAGCCTGTGAGAAGTGCAGAGGCCCAGGCCACCCAAAGCCTGAGTCAGAGCCTTCCGGGGATGGAGTCCAGCTCTCGGACTTATCCAACCCCCAAGGGATCTGACACATACAAGCACAAGCTGGGGGGGCGAGGCATGTGCATGCTGTGGGTGACCGTTCTCCTTCCTGCACCTGCAGGTGGATTTTGAAGATGTGATTGCGGAGCCTGTGGGCACCTACAGCTTTGATGGCGTGTGGAAGGTGAGCTACACCACTTTCACTGTCTCCAAGTACTGGTGCTACCGGCTGCTGTCCACACTGCTGGGCGTCCCGCTGGCCCTGCTCTGGGGCTTCCTGTTTGCCTGTATCTCCTTCTGCCACATTTGGGCAGTGGTGCCGTGCATTAAAAGCTACCTGATCGAGATCCAGTGCATCAGCCACATCTACTCACTCTGCATCCGCACCTTCTGCAACCCGCTCTTCGCTGCCATGGGGCAGCTCTGCAGCAGCATCAAGGTGATGCTGCGGAAGGAAGTCTAAAGCCAGGCAGGGAAGCGGGTAGCAGGGCAGGGCTCAAGCCAGGCACAACTGCACCTGCTCCACAGAGGGCCAGAGAGCTCTTTCTCCTTAGTGACTGCTCCATTCCCTCCTCCAAATGGGAGCACACCATGTAGGGAAGCTGGAAAGAAAAGCCAACCCGGCCTCGCAGGCAGTGCAGCGGCCCTCACTCTGCCTAGCCCTACCACAATACCCAGGAGCAGCCTGGACCAGAAGATGTGTGCTACGAGGCAGCTACTGCAAGTCTTTGCATCCGTGTGTACTGTGACAGCGTGAACTGCCATGGGTTCCCACCGTCCACGCACGCCCAAGAAAGCGACCAGTGACTGCGGGTGTGAGGGGGCCCAAATAAAGGTTTCAGCTGCATGGGGACATGTGTCTCGTCTGTCTGTGTCCATAAGCTTGGTGGTGTTCTGACTCACTGTCCTGTGCACAGCAGCAGGGAAGGCTGCTTGGTCCTTTTCCTGGGCAAAAGAAGGTTTCTGCTGGCCTTGAGCCAGAAAATGGGCACCAACAGATGAAATGGCCTGTGAGCTGGCAGGGTGGGGGCACTCTGTGGATACTGGGCACAGAACCTGGCCTCAAACCTCTCTGGAGCTCCCCGTGGCTTGCAGACACTGAGCCCCGGACACATATAGCCTTGCCCCTGGCGTGTGTACCATCAGCCTGAGGAACGCACACAGCCCAGTGCACACACAGGGGCAAGCTGGAAAAAGACAGCAGAATGACCATGCCCCGCCTCCCCGCCCCCCCCCCACCACTTCCAAAAGCAAAAGAATACACAAACCTAGTCCTCTCACATCCTTAGGGCTGTTTCCCAAGTGTGTCATCCAGAACATATTACCCAAAAGAAAAAAGTTGGGAGAAGTTAGCTTCTGTGGCCAAATTTGTTTGGAAATTCTGTATACATCTTTGGAGATTTTCAGTGGACACTAACACGGTAAAGGTTCTGTCAAGTTCTGCAGTACAGACACCAATTCAGTCCATGAGACCCTCCACCCTATTTGATTTTTTTTTTTCATGCAACCAACTTAAGTCTCAGGAAAGAAAGAGTCCAAGGCACATTTTAGGGTCTGGAAGGACATCATTTCCTTGCCGCTGGCCACAACCCAGGGGTCTTTGGGGACAGTGAGACGGCGCAGAGCACACACAGACCAGGAGACAGGACACAGACTCCAGTCTGCTTCTCTTCCTAGTTGCCATCGCTGGCCTAAATTTTGTTATCCTCAAACCATTTCTGATATCTACTGAGCTGTAAGGTGCTTTTTCTAACATCTAACATCTTATGTAATTTGTACACTGTGAGAAGTTGAAAGTAGCTGTGAATTCCTCCAATACATACACTGTCTTGGTGCTTTATGATATTGCCATCCAACCTCCCTTCTAACGATCCACAATCCCACCTTGATTGCTTTTAAATAAGTTGCAGATATCAGTACACTTTACCCCCAAATAGCTCATCAGTCAATACTTGTTTGCATGGATGAGAAGTTTACAGCACAGGGAGGCCGCAGACTCGCCAAAAGATGCCCAGTGTAGCCCTGTGGGCCCAGCTCACCGCTCTGAGTTCTCCCACATTCTCCAAGGAGCTTGGCAGGCCCAGCCCCTCCTGCCGGAAGGGATTAAGGCCAGTATTGTTGATGTCTTCCTTAAAGAGCCTGCCATTTCCAACATCCCTTGAAATCAGTGGACCATCAGTTTTAGACTTGCAATCTTGGATTAGGCAAAGATTTTCACCACGTGGGTATTTGCCATTCACTGGACTCTGACTCCAAACTTTTCAATCTTTCTCTAAGGGCAGACTAGAGCAGGTGCTCAATTACCTACAAAGTTCACAGAGCTGGAGAAAAAGACACATAATCAAGACGCATGTGTGTGAGGTCTGACTCCTGTAGGGATCCCCTTGAGGAAACTATGTAGAAAAGCATGTTGGGGGTACAGTGAGAGTGGGCCCAAGGTGGAGGACGGGGCACTCCCTCTCATGTATTACATACAGATGGCAGTATGCTTTGGTTCAAAATGCAGATCTTGTGGCCCCGGCTCTAGGACCTGACTCAGCCATGCGACCCAGGAATCTGCCTTTTAACACAATCCAGCTGTGATTCTGTAGGCATCTCCAAATCCCCACTTAAGAAATATTTGTTAAGGTCACTTCAAGGTGACAATCTAGACTCCTATATTGTGACACATGGTGGGGCTTGTTCCAGGATCTTATAGCATCTGCTAAAAGATGAATGAATGCACCTGGGGCTCCAGAGAACAGGACCAAGTCCCCTCTGCTCCTGCCTTAGCCCATGCACCTGTCATCATCAGATAGGTAACACCAAAGCCCACCCCCAAACTGGAGTCTGAAGGCCACCAGATGCGGCCACTGAGTTTGAGAGGGAAAAAAAGGCAAAGCAATATATGAAAAAAATGTTTATTAAGTGCACCTTTTACAAAGCAGACATCTCAGGATTGGCCACATCATTCACCAAATGGCACAGTGCATGCAGCACCACGGAAAGTCACCACAGCAGAAAGAAGCCAGAGAAACACACTGTGTGTTAAGTGGCATTTTGTTGCAATTGAACACAGAAAAAGGTGAAACACCCTGGAAACAAGATCTTCATCAAAGCCTGCCAGCATTTACAGCCTCCTATGTTTCATGAAGACTCATCCACATAGACTCATCCAGTAAGGAGACCACATTACGTGACAGATTTTTTTTCAGGGGCTAAGGGGGAAAGGCTTGGAGTCTGAATACTCACTGTTTTCCCCAGTGCTGCTGGGGTTTGCATCCAGGGCTGTGCATATCCTAGGCAAGTGCTCTACCACTGGTTCACCCTCAGCCCTTTTATTTTAATTCTGAGATTGGGTCTCACTACGTTACCTAGGTTAGCATTGAACTTAGAATCCTCCTACCTCAGCCTCCCTCTAGTAGATGGGATTGCAGATTTGTACCACTGCGCCTAGCTACATACTCACTTTGATGATCATGCCTCTGTGTGTGTGTGTGTGTGTGTGTGTGTGTGTGTGTGTGTGTGTTTTGCAGTGTGGAAGGAGAAAGCTGTTATGAAGAGAGAGAATGGATCTGTGGCTTCCGGGAAATGCTCTTGTATCTCAGAAAGTCCCAAAATGTGTCTGGATATTAAAAGGTGCCCCCGTGGTACTAGCGTACCAGTCTCATACACTCCCCTCTGATTAGTAGTGTCCTGAATTTGATATCCAAAAGCCTCTTCTAGACACAGTCATGCCCTACCCTGAAGGCTGAGAGGACATCTGAGAACACACCTAAGCGAGCTGCTATCCTAATGAGATCATGGCCATCCAAGGTGACCAAGCATCCCTTGTGCCTTTCTGAACACAAGGTGGACTTTTCTTCCTGTACTCATGGCCAAGGTGGAGATGCTCTCTTGCAGAAGCTCAGAAGTGGTGAGTCATATAAAACACAAGCACTCAGAGAAGTGAGTGATTCCAAGGAATTTTCTGCCACATTGGCCCTCTGAATTCAGCTGCTGAGCATATTTTTAATTTTTTAGTGTACACTTCAGTGGTTTTACATATATTCTCAAAATTGGGCACAATACCACTAATTCCAGAACATGTTTATCACCTCCCCCCTAAAAATCCCATATCCTTAAGCAATTACTCCTCATTTCCCTATATTCTATGTGTATATATTTGCCTATTCTGGACATTCCATAGAAATGGGTCAGACAATACAAGGGATTATTAAGACATATGATGTTTAAGTTTTTTAAATTATAATAAAACACACATTGTCTTAATTTCCTTCAAAATTACCCCTTGCTTCAAAAAAACTTATCCCATCACTCGTGTCACTTTTAGAAGCAGTTCAGTCCTCACAAGTTGTGATCCAAACTATGGGGAGCGCTGCTGCTCAGCACCATACACAGAAACACAGCTCATAAAAGCAGGATGCTGTGTCCCCGTCCACCTTATTCACTAGGCCTTCTCCAAAGGCAAAACGCTTATGAAAGGTGAATGTTTTGCACCAATTCAGGATATCGAGGCCTCCACAATTAAAGATACCCACAAAAGAAGAATTCCAGAGCTGCTTCAGAAAGTGGCAAGAATAATGAGATAAGTGTGTTTGAAGTTACAGGGAGTATTTTGAGGACATTAATTGCAATGACCTTTTATGGTAAAAAAATTTTAAGAATTTGAATGTTCACTGCATTTTCTGACCATATTTTACATATGGCTTTTTGCAACTGGCTTCTTTCACTTGACATAATGCTTTTAAAGTTTGCTCATGTTATAGGATGAATCAATATTTCATTTCTTTTTATAGCTGACTAATGTCCTACTATATAGACATACCACATTTTATTCATCCACTCATCAGTTAATAGACATTTGAGTATTTCTTCCAGGATGTAATGAACACTGATGTACAAGTTTTTCACTTCCTGTGGGTAACTACCTAAGAGTGCAGCTTTTCTTCCTGTGTTAATTCCATGTTTAACTTTGTGAGGAACCATCAAACTGGTTTCCACAGGAGCTGCACCATTCCTACCAGTACATATAAAGATTCTAATTTCTGTATACTCTTGTCAACACTTACTGTTACCCATCCTTTTGACTATGGCCTTCCCAGCCAGTATAAAGTGGAATCTCAGTGTACTTTGACTTGCCTTTCTCTAATGAGTAAACACTGTTGAGTATTTTTGCCTGAGCTTATTGACAACTTACATATCTTTTTTTGGAGAAATACTTATCCAAATCTTTTGCCTATCTTTAAATTGACTTCTTTTTCTCATTTCCTTTTTAAAATTTCTTTTGGTGGTGCTGGGGATCAAACACACAGTCTTGCTCATGCTAGGCAAGTGCTGTGCTATTGAGCTACATCCCCAGCTGGCTTCCTTTTCTTCCATTTATTTATTGCATCATAAGCATTCTTTGTCTTTTTACTCTCTGGGTAGTGTTTGAAAGCATAGAACTTTTAAGTTTTGATGAAATCTTACCTATGATCTATGCATTTTTTGGTTGCTTGTGTCTTTGGTATCATTTCTAAGAAAACACTGCCTAATCCAAGTCACAGGTTTATCCCCACTTCACTGTAAGAATGTTATACTTATAGCTGCAATACGAAGGTCTTTGATGCATTTATATATATGGTATAAAGTTCCAACTTCATTCTTTTGCTTGTGTGTATCCAACAACATTTGCTAAAGACTATTCCTTTCCTGGTAAATTATCTTGGCACCCTGTTGAAAGTGAATTGACTGTCAGTGCTCCAGGTTGCTACCTACACCCTTTATTCTATCCTACTGTTCTAAACGTCTACCTACAAGCCGGTACCATGCTGCTTTGACTATTGTAACTTTATAGTAACTTTTGAAGTGTGACCCCATCAACTTTGCTTTCCCTTTCCAAAGGATTTTTTTGGTTATTTTAGGTTCCTTGCATCTCCTTATGAATTTTAAGATTATCTTACTAGTTTCTGCAAAGAAGCTAGCTCAGATTTTAATCAAGATTGTAGCAAATCTCTACAACAATTTGGTTAGTATTGCCATTTTAAGAATATGAAGTCTCTGATCCTATGAATGCAGGACATCTTTCCATTTATTTATCTTAATTTCTTTTAACAATACTGTTCAGCTTTCCAGGTACAAGTCCTGCATTCTTTCGTTAATTTATTCTGATTCTATTCTTTCTGGTGTTATTTAAATGGAATTGTTTCTTAATTTCATTTTCATATTGTTCATCAATAGTATAAAGAAATATATTGATTTTTGTATATTAATCTTATATCCCACAACCTTGCTAAACTCACTTATTATTCCAGTAGGGGTTTCTGTGTGTGTGTGTGTGTGTGTGTGTGTGTGTGTGTGTGTGTGTGTGTGATCATCTACATATAAAATAATGTCATCTACAGATAGTTTTACATCTTCCTTTCCAATTTAATGTCTTTTTATTTCTTTTTCTTCCTCAAATGTTTATCAAACATTTGAGTCTCAAATGTTTTCAGCCCAAGTTCTCATTGGCCCCCCATGCCAGCTAGTCTTGCCAGCCAATTCCCTGTTTTAGGGCCACCTTCTGACAAGCTGGTCCCCAGGGACACTGCAGGCAAAGCACACTGCAGTGAGGAGAAAATCGGTACCAGCCTCCCACCTTAGGCCCCATTTCCACTCCTTACCCCTTGCCCAGAGCCCTGGCTCCCTGACTCAGTCAGTCACCATCCTATACTTCCTTCTCACAGGATTCCAGAATACAAAAGTAAAAAGACACTGAGTGGAAGTACAGGCCTGGGGGAGAAAGAACCCAGCCACTGCCCAGACAGCAGTAGGGTCAGGGTAGCAGGATGTGGGAGCCCTGGGGACACTCAGGGGTTTGTCTGATGGCTGTCACCCCATCACCTCCCCCACCCCGTCAGAATTCCCCATCAAACTCAAGCCACCCCCAAGGAGCAGAAGGAAATAACTGATGGGTACCTTACACACATGTCAAGGGCCACAAGTCAGACTGTCCGTGGCAGCACACTCCAAGCTCAGGAGCAGCCCAACCTGGCCAGGGGTCACGCTGTGGACGGCTGGGAGCAGCTCCTCTGGCTGGAGCTGCGCTGGCTCAAGACAAAGGTGGATGAGTTGCTCTTTTTGCTGATGCTAGTCTCCCCCGGCCGGCTGCTCCTCAAGGAGCTGGAGGAGCAGCAGAGGAAGCGCTGCATGAGTTCATGGAAGAGGTGGCCAGTGAAGAGCATGTAGATCCAGGGGTTGCAGCAGCTATTGAGGCTGGCCAGGAGCATGGCGATGATGAAGGCTGAGGCTGTGGTAGGAGAGAGGTGAATAGGTGTTACCAGCCCTGTCGGGTGAGCCACTGTGTCCCAAGCAGCAGCCTTTTCAGGGACTGTGACTGGATCACAAAATGGGCACTAAAGAGCCCTCCTGGGAGTACCCACCAAATAGAGCAGCTCAGCCCACTCTTCGCCTTATCCAAGACTTGCCCATCACCTGCCCCGCTACCTCAGCAGGAGCTGCACTGCTCACAGAGCCTGGTGGTTCATGGTTCACCTGCCAAGTATGCCGCCTACTCCTTAGCAGGCTGCCAAGGAGGCCAGAGCTGCACCCCTGGTTTGCACTCTAGTTCTCCGAGAAGCTTTGGTTTCCTTTTTTTTAATTTTTGAAACAGACAGGGTGCCACTACGTAGTACGGATTGGCCTTAAACTTGCTTATGTAGCCCAGGCTGGCCTCAAATTCAGTGATCTTCCTGCCTCAGCCTCCCTCCTGAGTGTTGGAATTACAGGTGTGTACCACCACAGATGTGGTTTCCTCATTTTTAACTGGGGATAATGAGACCCAAACCATGTGGATGGTGGCAAGGAGTGAAAAGAGCCTGGTGCACCGGGAGTGCCCAAGACAAATGGTGGCTGCTACCACCACCACAGGCCAGGGCCCAGGGAGGCAACAAAGACACAAAATTTAAGTGAAAGACACCGTGATATGGGCACATGTAAGTCTTGGCCATCCCTACAGAAAGGTGGCATGGGAGCTCATCCCTGGCAATGCAGGGAAGAGAGAAGGGTGCTCGTGACAGAAGGAGGGGCCCAGTAAAGGCGTGGTGGAACAGAAGTGTGTGTGATCTTCACAGCTGAAGAAACTGACAGCATGTCTGTGGAACTTGCCTAAAGGGCATGGCTCTAGCACGACAGTCATCAGTTCACACAGGAATAAAGTGACAGTGAAGTTATCTACAGAAGCTTTTAGCTGAGGATACACTGAGTTCCCCACAAAATTAATGAGCAGAAATCACCTCTAAGGCACTTCCTGTCACAAACTGAAGTTTCAAGGGGGAAGAAAAAAGTCTCAATCTTAGGTACTTTCAAGCAGAGAGAATAAGAAGAAACCTGATTAAAAAGGAAACACCTGCTGGCAACAGGGAAGGCCAACCAACATCTCCAACACCCCACGAGGAAAACACAGTAACCCAGAATTCCCTGACAGCCAGATTCTTATGAACAAAGACAACCACAAGAAGGCTGGGGAAACCCATTCGTCTTATGTCTGCTCCACAAAATTTTCCAAATAATAACTTCAGACTTCAAGAGGTGACTCCAGGGAAGGAATCTGGGGGTGCTGGAGTTGTAATGGCATGTGTGTATGTCAGCCAAGTCCCCGAGCACCATGGGAGAGGAGGTTGGTGAGCAAATCTGGATTCTCAAAGTGAGACCCCAGGGCACAGCACTCCAGAGCACTTATCACAGTGGCAAACTCGCAGGGCCAACTCCAGCAGCACCCAGTGGGACCTGGGTGGGGTGGGCACGGCAATTTGTTGTAACAAGGGAGTTCGGATGCACACCTGCTCTGATTGACTGGCACACCTGTTGGGAGAAAAAAGCAAGCTACAGCAGACAAAACCCAAATCCTGTAAATGTAAGAATTCTTTGAAAACAAAGGAGAGGAATCTAACCTTTACAACCCAAATAATATAGAAGAAGAAAGCCAATACTATTGAATTTCTTGGTTTTATAAAAGTTGCCTTATAAAAATTTTGCTTTATTTGAATGAGTAAGAATAAGATGTTTAGAAATTCTCATGAAATATTTTTAATTAAATTTAAAACCACCCACAAAATTAAAAATAGAAAGGGTTCAAAATCAAGTAAGAGGCAAAAACAGCACACAAAAGTCAAAGATAAGAATAAAGCCATGGTAAATAAAGCCAGGAAATGAGAGAGGGGAAATTATATGGAAAGAAGTTCATACTCAGAGAGGAACCTAGTGGTACCTACAGTCGTATGGTGTAGGATAAGTCACCTAACATGAAAATACAAACTCCCAAATACTCCAGAATCAGACAGTTTTGAGCCCTGACATGATGCACCATTTGGAAAGTACCATCCCTGACTTCAAGGGACAGGTCACAGTCAAAACAGTGGCATTAATGGTACTGTATAAAATTCCTTCCCACTATGTACCTCAGATGTAAACAAAGCATAAATGAATTTTGTGTTTAGATTTGGGTCTCTTCCCAAGATATCTCATTGTGTATATAAAAACACTCCCCCAAAACCCCACACAGTGGGAAACGTTTGTGGCCCCACGCATTTCAGAGAAGTGCTACTCAGCCTGTGTGATCTCACCGGCTCCCTTGTGTGCGATTCTCCTCACCTCTGCATTTGGATCTTCCCCACGCCTTCTGCAGCGGCCAGCCTGGCAGGAGTGGGTAGAACACAGCTGGCCCCTCTGCTCGCTGCTGCAGGCCTCAGGCACAAACCACTGGCCTGGCCTGGTTCCCGGGGAGCCATGCACCTCCCCAAGCAGAGCCTGCTCCTCGCTAAGGGCACTTGTGGATTTTTTTTAAATTTGGCAATGCCATCATCATCCAAAGACATGATCTTGGGAAGAGCGACACTTGACATAAACCACAGGGCTGTGGAGGGTGCTGCAAAGGGCAAGGTACTTTCAAGCAGAGAGAATAAGAAGAAACCTGATTAAAAAGGAAACACCTGCTGGCAACAGGGGAGGCCAGGCAACATCTCCAACACAGTAGAGGAGAGGCCCATAGCTGAGACTTTCCACGAGCATCCGGCGCTGCCAGCTATGAGAGGTGGCAACGGAGAAACCAGAAAGATAGTTTGGAGCCAGGCTGAGGAGGTGCTGCACCCAGGTAGGACCTGCACTGTCCTCTCCAGGCGATGGGAGCCACTGATGGTTTCTGAGCAGCCCAGTGACTGATTCCACATCAACCTGCTTCCTGCACTACCCATATCTCAATCCAGCTCCCTTTCTGGGAGCTACAAAGCCTGGTGGGACTGCAGAAGAGCTGCAGCAGAACAAGACATAGAAAATATAGTCCCTGCATTTCATAATGTCGTTCCCAAGGGAACGTGTGACAATGACCATCAGAACCACAATTAAGACTGCCTAGAACGGCCTGAATTCCAAAGCGGTCTTAGCCACATTTTACAGATGACAAAAGGAAGGCCCAGAGAAAGAGAGTGACTTTCCAAAGTGCACACAGCAAGTCATTCCGTGTCCCTACCTAAAAGCAGTGAATGATTGCTTTGAAAAACAGGTACGTGTTCTCCTATGGTGGGCTCATCCCAGGTAGTGAGCCTTCGTCCCCAAGCAAAGACATAAGTGCCTGAGAAGGCACCTAGAGTGTGATTTGTGGGACAGCCACAACTTCCTTGTCCCCCAAACACCGCCCCATGAGATGAAGCCCCTCCTGCTCACTCCCCAGTGGTGGTCTTTTAAAATCCAGAGTATGTGGGAGGAACACAGTACCTCCGGTCAGCTCTCTACGCTTTGAGTCAGACATGCCTCAGTCCAGACTGCAAGATGGGCCACTCTGGAGAGGGCACAGGGCTGTCTGGGTCCTAAGAAGACAACAGTCTGGAACAAATAATGACCTAGCACAGGGGAAAGATGACTGTGTCTTCTGCTATCTGCCTGAGGTCCTGGAAGTAGCTGACCCTGCCCAACGAACTTGAGGCCCACAGAGGCTGGGCGGACACAGGGCTCCCTGCAAGTCTTGCGGCTTGAGCCTTCTCCTCCCGCACAGCCCTCTGAGCTGCATCTGGTCTCTGAGCATCGGTTTTCTTATTGCAAGTTCGAGGTCACAAAAGGGCATTGAAAAAAATGGGAAAAAAAAGAAAAGACAATGTAAAAGGACTTTGTGACTGGCAAGGTGTTTATTCTAGCAATGACAAGGAGGAGGGTTGGCTTAGAGGTTTGATCCACTGTAGTAATTTATTAAAGTCCAAGATTGGGGACTTCTGATCACAGGTCAATTAAATAAACTGTCTTTGGCTCTCTTTCTTCTAGCAATTATCAAACATTAAAAAAAAATAACTCTAGGATTGGGCAACGTGACAGAAAGAAGCCCTCGGCTGTTCACTTTGGGAAAATCACGGTGCCTGTGACCTAGGAAAGCCAAGCCTGCACTCTGGGAAAGCACAGGATTGCAAGGTCTGGGCCGAAAGAGCCAGCTCCAAAATCATGTCTCACTCGCTCCCCTGATGTGACAATGACACCTCCCCTGTGCCCAACCCCAAGCATATTCCCAGGCCACCAAGTGCCAGGAAGGGAGGGCAGGAGGGAGGCTGGGTCCTGTCCCACGATGCTGGCCTCACACCCAGCATGTTTGTTCCTTGGGGGAGGAAGAAGTCGCATTCACCCATTTTCTCATTCCAGCTCCTCTCTACCAAGCTCTGGGGAGCTCGAGAAGTCACCAAGACCCTGTCCTCAAGGGACCCACCCCCTGGGGGTGGGAAGGAGAGAAGTTAGAGAGTGGCAAGTATTAAAGGTGGAGGCAGCTGGCAGGCATAGGGCTGGGATGAGGGGTGATCTTCCAGGGGAAGCTCCTAGATGCCAAGCAGGTCCATGAACAGAAGAAGCCATGCACCAAAAGTAAACATCACTGGCCAGGTGACTTTCCCCAGGTGGGAGACTCCACCCTGTATTTATGCTCAGCGTCGTGGTTCACAACAAGGGGAGCAGGGCTGCTGCAGGACGGCATGTGCCAGGATTCCAGCTCACAGCCTGCTTTATTCTTACCCTAGGACACCCCCGCAGACTTCCCGGCACTCCTCTGCCCAGCACGGATGGCCTGAATTAGCTGCAGACAGCTGATGGGCAGCTGGCCACGGCCTCTCTGGACTGCACTGCTCTCAAGACCTCATTCTGCACACAACTCAGACATGTGGCTGACCTCACTGGAACCAGATCCAGCCCAGCAGCCGAGGAGCCCCTCACCGGAGAAACCAGCCCCTGGGGCAAGGCCTTGCCTAGACTCCCCCAAGCCTGGGGAACAGGGACTAAGGG